GTTTAGGGTTTAGGGTTTTGTAGTTAAGTGGAGTAGTGTTTTTTGTTTGAGGGGGGTATATATGATAAAGTTGCGAATCGTTGAGAACCCGGTAGCATTACTCACTGCCCCTCAGCCCTAAACCCTGACCCTCCCCGTACTTGTAAATCTTTCGTGATAATGATGGCTACTATAACTATATAATATATAGTTATCATTACTAGTATTATTGTTGCTACTATTATCATTATTACCAGTCGTCTTCTTCTTATTATTATGAGTGCTACTGTTGATGATATAAATCCTGCATGACCTCAAGGACCCTAAACTATGGGAATTAGGGTCTATTCCTCATTGTAGGTAATCCTAAACCCTAAACCCTAAACCCTAAACTGAGATTTTCTGCTTCTCTTGGAGGTCGTCTTCTCCCCTAAACCCTAAACCCTAAACCAAAAGCCCTAAACCCAAACCAAAAACCCTAAACCCTAAACCCTAAACCCTAAACCCTAAACCCTAAACCCTAAACCCTTCTCTTGGAGGTCGTCTTCTCCTCGGAGCGGCTCTGTGGCTGGGGGGGCGGCCACATCTGCTCCGAGGAGGCCTTGGGTTGCGGAGCGAGTCTGGGGGGCTGAGGGTTTCGGGGTTTAGCCTTGGGTGTTGGGGTTTGGGGTTTCGGGGTTTAGCCTTGGTTTAGGGGCTTAGGTTTGGGGTTTGGGGTTCAGGGTCCACGGTTTGGGGTTTGGGGGTTTCGGGTTTACGGTTGACGGTTGAGGGTTTAGGATCTATGAGGGTTTAGGTTTTTTTGTAAGGGTTCAGGGTCTGTAAGGGCCTAGCGTGGCGCTTGGGGCGCAGAGACCGTGGCGCCTGCGCTTCTAGGACGACGCGCAGTACCCGCAGGGCCCAACGGACTCGAAGTACCTCAATGCCGGAGGCCTCGAGCACCGAGCGGGGTCTGGCTTATCAGCTTCAGGGTTTAGCAAAGGCAGCTTTTGTGGGTTTCCGAAAAGGGGGGGACCCTAATGTAGTACCCCAAATAGTAGGATCCTGATTATAAGGACCCCAAAATACCCCCTTAGTTTCGGAAACTCCCATTTAAGATTGTTGGAGGCTACATCGGTCCTGCCTCAGCCCTGGTCCGGATCATCAAGTGGGTCCTGGACCTTGCTGCTGAAGTGAAGGGTGGAGCCTTCCCAGACCTCCGCCGCAAGACCACAGCGGAGGAGCCCGCACAAAGTTTTTGGGATGGGTATTGTCGGTAGTTGTGCATCATGGACTTTAGGGTCGTCACCTATGGCGGTGATACGGATCACGTCGTGCCCAGGACGCTATTGCTGGAGAGACAGACCAGCTCTTCTTCAAGATGTATTTTTGGGAACACAGGGAGCACGAAGCCCAGATGGAGCGTGGCATGTGAGTTTGGGTAGAGTCACTGATTCCTAAGGTCTGTGACGTTGGACTATCATCAGTCCATCTTTGGGAATTTTGTCGAGGTGGAGAACGTAGCTTGTCGCGACGGCTGGCGCCCTCGCTGTGCCAACCAGCCGTGCTGTACAGCTTCTGCACAGCATTTTAGACTGCCTGCCAAATCGCCCGTGCCACACCCAAAGGCCTTAATGCTCGTGGCTTGAGTACTTGCAGCATGAGGTTAGCGACAGTTTGAAACGCTTCCACGACGTGTTCTATGGGAACTACGTGATTCAGGGATGCTCGTTGTGGCGGAGGAATAATCTCCCCATTACGTGGCATGGCCGCTCGGCTCAATACTAAGGTTCCGGGAATTTCTAGCCTTAAGCCTTACGCATTTCCCACACTCAGGGAGGTTACCTGGGGTTTACGGATCAATCGCTCTGCCGGCTGGCATTCGCCATTTCCTTTGAAGTGTCACTCTACATGGAAGAGCAAAGCTGGAAGAAGCCTTACCACGGGCTTAGGCAACGGCGCAGGCAAGTGGCTCTGGCTGCTCTCACTGGAAGAGCTGTCAAGAAGTTGTCCTTTCTTGGCAAATCTCACTGTTCACAGGATGCCTGGCTTGCACAGTTCAGCATTTTATGGAGTCATATTTACCATGCTGGCGGGAAGCTGCAGAGTGTATGTAGTACCCGCCGTCCGGAAGGGATTATTTTAATGTTCTCCCCTAAACCCTAGACACTAAACCCTAAACCCTAACCCCTAAGCCCTAAACCCTTCTTGAATTGGAGGTATCCGGTTCAGCCAATTCTTGACTTGTTCGACCAGTTCGACACGGCCAGAGCAGAGAGACAGAATGTGATGCGCTGAAAGAGCCCCCGGCACTTGCCAAAGTTTGAAGGGTTGTAGAGCTGTGCGGTTTGCGTTCCAGGGCTACATTGGCATTGCAAGCTTCCCTAAACCCTAAACCCTAAACCCTAAACCCTAAATCCTAAACCAATCGAGTTGGCAAGTCAGGTCGAGAATGGCACATTGCAGCCTGGAAGGGTGAATTGTTCCGAGACCCAACGCTGAAGCTGAACTATCCCCTAGATCAAAACAACTAGAACACAATTCCTTGTTTTAATACGTACTATAAATAGGGGCCTAAGTAATTACTTATACTGCCTCTACTATATAATGGGCCCCAAAACCCTATTCTGATTCTTAAGGCCACTACTTATACTGCGGTCTACCCCAAGACGAACCAGTCGGCTCCGAACAGCGCCACACCCAAGCCCCCGTGCACTGAGCCCTATATGCCCTAAGAGCCCAAATTCTAAGCCCTAGACCTTAAACCCTAAACCCTAAATCCTAAACCCTAAACCCTAAATCCTAAACCCTAAATCCTAAACCCTAAACCCTAAATCCTAAGCCCTAAACCCTAAACCCAAATCGAAGCCCCTACTCCGGAAGGACCAGTGGGAGATCATGAAGTTCGGAGCTGAGCATGCTTGCATCAGGGTGCATCTCCCCAAACCCAATATGGGGGGTCTGAATAAATATGAATACTCTTCTTCTGGGTTCCTCATTGTACATACTTACACCAAGAGTCAACTCCGAGACCTCTACATATGAAGGATCCTGCATTCGAGGCTTTCAGGCTCCTCTGCATCAAAGAGCTCCTCTGCGCCCTCGCCGATCCTGCCCTTCGACCGAAATACTTGCTCTTGAGTTTCACGGTTGGTCAGTGTACTGTCGTATTGGAAGCCGTTTGTCATTGTTGTAGATGCCGGCAGGTGTTGTGCTTGTGTGGCTTCTTGCTCCAGAGGCCTCAGCACCTCACGGTTCGAAACAACTTCCTGGGCTGTCCTCGAACGTGGCATGGAGAGATCTGTACAGCCCTGCCAAAGGATTTCAGACGCTTCTGAAGATTTCATGGCTCGAAACTCAGGCTCCGCCCGCTTTGGAGCAACGGTACCCTAGCAGCTGCACCCACCGGCACCGAGCCTAGTGCAGGGTTTGGCATTCGGGGGCTCCAGTTTCGGAGTTGTGAGAACTCTCGGGTTTGGCTTGTGGGGGTTTTTACATTGGGGTAGTTCTCGGGGTCCTTTTTATAAGGATGCCGTACTATTTTGGGGATCTAAAAAGGGACCCTAATTTAGAGAACTACTCATTCGTTGTTAGAAGAGCAGATCCTGCCGTGTTAGGCGAGACTTGAAGTCTGGAGATTCTGTCGATGTTGCTGAGGGGCCTTTGCGCATGTGGACAGCGCAATGGACGAGCAGGCGGTTCGTACTGGGGGATGTAGACAAGCTTAGCCGGACAGATTGTGGTGGTGGTGGTGCACGTTGTCGCCGCCGTAGCAGTGCCAACAGTGGTTTTTAGAAGCAGCAGCAGTAGCAGCAGCCAGAAGTGTAGGAGAAGAAGCGAAAGAAATTGTCACGATCCCCGCTGGTGTTGAATGCTCCTGCTGTAGTGCAAAAACAATTTCTTCTTGGACGAACACTGATTTCACGTTGGATAAGGGTTCATACGATACATTTTTTCACGATAGGCGTGGGTTTGCAGAAAGGATTCAAGAGATCTGAGCACACAATGGCTTGGCTTGGCTTGGTTGATTTTGCTGTCAATCAGCGGCCGCAGGTGGCGACCAGTACCAAGTACAGGTAGCGGTGGTTGATCGCGGTTTCGTCGTCGTTGTCTTCGTCGTCCGCGTCGCCAGCAGCTTCAGCAGGAGTAGGAGTAGGAGAGCTCCTTGTGCAGGTTTTCCAGGACCTGGACGTGGGAGGCTTCCGCTTCCCCGGCTGCAAGGCAGGTGCGAGAGATCCGTTCTAGGGACTTCAGGGGCTCTTCCCGGAAGCCTGCGTCGTCTTCGAAGTCCGCCGAAACAGGGGGTTCCCGTCAATGGTGGCTTCCGACCTTGCACCCTTAACCCTAACAGGTGGTTGGCAATCGGCGCCTCGGTGTCCACGGCCGCAGCCACTGCAGATACTACGGCCTGCAGGCCAGGGGGGTCTGGAGGGTCTTTGCTCTTGCTTGGCTTAGGGTTTTGCGGTGTGGGGTTTAGGCTTCAGGGTTTGCTGTTTAGGGTTTAGGGGTTAGTGTTTGAGGTTTAGAGAAAAACCCTAAACCCTAAACCCTAAACCCTAAACCCCTAAACCCCTAAACCCCTAAACACCTAAACCCTAAACCCTAAACCCTAAACCCTATAAGGGTTTAAGGTTGGGATCTCTTCAGAAAGGAACAAAGCTCAAGCAGACCCACCACTCGAACCACGGGCCCTTGGATTGGAGCACGAACCCCACATTTACTCGTCCTGAGGACCCTCGATCATAGGGTTTAGGGTTTAGGGTTTAGGGATTTAGCGTTTAGGGTTTAGGGTTTAGGGTTAACTACGTCCGTATAAGACGTTGTAGAACAGATACGCAGAGTACCGCATCCGTACTGTGGGTTGCTGGTCGCTCTCTGGCGCCTGAGGTCTGTGCCGCTGTCCTGTGGATCCCTCAGTTCTGATCCCATGGCTTTCAAGAAGCTGCGGATGTTATATGTATGTATTATGTATGTATATATACACATCATTTCTACAGCAGTATATATACATATACATATATATATATATGTATATATACGTATATATACTTATATATATATATATATATATATACTAGGTGGTTGCAGCAATAACTCGGAAGAAGGGATGCTAGCCGGAGGTCTTCGTAATTGTAATCTTGACATGTCTCCCAGGTATCTGCCTGAAGGTGCTGAACAAGCCCTTACAGGCCGCAGTGTCCGTGCTTCATTCAAAGACCCCCTAAAACCTAAACCCGAAACCCTAAACTAAACGCTAAACCCTAAACCTGAAACCCTAAACCTGAAACCCGAAACCCTAAGCTAAACCCTAAACCTGAAACCCTAAACCTGAAAACCTAAACCCTAAACCCGAAGCCCGAAACCCTAAACTAACCCCTAAACCTGAAGCCCTAAACCCTAAATCCTAAACCCGAAACCCTAAACTAAGCCCTAAACCTGAAACCCTAAACTAAGCCCTAAACCTGAAACCCTAAACCTGAAACCCGAAACCCTAAACTAAACCCTAAACTTGAAGCCCTAAACCCTAAACCCTAAACCCTAAACCCGAAACCCTAAACTAAACTAAACCTGAGCCCTAAACCCTAAACCCTAAACCCTAAACCCTCGATTTGGAGCGCATTTGTTCCTGAGGCCGGACCGGGAGGCTCCTGTTGAACTGGAGAGCCTCAGTGAAACGACTTCGTCGTTGTATCCTCTCATCGTCCGTGTGTGTATATACGTATGTATGACCGTATTGTATGTATGTATGTATGTATGTATGTATGTATGTATGTATATATATATATGTATGTATGTATGTATGTATGTATATATATATATATATTAATATTGTATTATATATATATATATATATTTATATTTATAATTATATTTATATTTATATTTATATTTATATTTATAGTTATATTTATATTCATATTTATATTTTTATTTATATTTTCACATACGGAGCATATAGTCGGCAATGGTACTTACAATCTACCCCGACGCTCGCAATTACCTTCTGCAGTCCTTGTCCAGGAAAAGACGTCATGGATTCCAACGTCCTGAAGACGCTGGACTGTCTTTTGACTTCCGAAACCCGAATATCGGGGCCTTAGCATGGGGGTTTAGGGTTCCCTTAAGGGGTTATTGTCATCGTTTAGAAAAGGGCCTCAAAAGTTAGCATGGGCTTTTGTGGGGGTTTGTTAGAGTATAGCAAAAACAGGAAGCCTCACGAATGGCACTGGTCATTCTTTTGTCTTCTATATTGCTTTCCCTGGAGTCCCCGCAAGAAAGTGCGAACCCGAAGCTTCTTGCGACTTCCCCAAACTCCCTCAAAATCCCTCCAGGGACACCTTAAACCCCGGACCCTAAGCCCCTGGCACCGCCCTGGCCGCAAAGCACCGCTTTTCTCGGCCGCAGGAGTTGCGCTACTGCAGACACTTTCCCGGAGACCAGTTTCGTTTTGTGACTCGTTGGGAGCCCAGCATCGCACTCGTCGCCAAGTGCAGAGCTAAGGTCAAGGGGTGTTTAAGGGTTTTGGGGGTTCCTTATTATAATTATAGCATAATAAACTACCCCCAAAGCAACCTTTTCTAATTACTAAGGCCCCTACATTAGGGCTTAGGGGCAAAATTTGCTCCGTGAAACCCGGAGCCTCTGCATTTTCAGGCTGGGCTTTGTCCAGAAACGGTTTCTTGCCGGACGAGGCGGTCGAGGTGCGTATCCTCATCGCAACTTTATTCTGGAGGGCAGCATCTTTGATTTTTGGTATCTGCTGTGCTTTTTTTTGTGCATTCTTCGTTATTTTTGGTATGTGTGGTATCTTTGAAGGTGCTTACCAAGTATCGTGGACAAGTCCTGCTGTTTCGGCTATGACGATCGCCCTTCTGCCGCTACCCCGAGAGCTTTCCCGGAGGGTCTGACGGTGGCCCCAACTTGTCAGCTACAATTGAGAGCATGGTTTGTAGGTCGTTTCAGTATGTTATGACGATATGTTTTTTTGCCTTCCTTCAAGCCTGACACCAAAAGCCCCGACCCTACAAAAGGGCCACAGGAGCCTGTGAGAAGATTTTGCCATGCCCTCACCCTAAACCCTAAACCCTAAACCCTAAACCCTAAACCCTAAACCTCAAGAGCGCACGATTGCCAGGCCGGCCTCAAGCACTTCAACCCCTTGTACAGAGATGTTCAGCCCGGGGACAGCTGGTGGAATGTCTTTAGGTACCCTAAACCCTAAACCCTAAACCCTAAACTCTAAAACCCTAAACCCTGAACCCTAACCCTAAACCCTAAAACCCTAAAAGCCTAAAAGCTCAGGGGTTTAGGGCTCACGGGGTTTCGGGTTTTAGGTGTTTCGGGCTTTGCGTGCGGCCAGCGGCTGTGTTGAAGGTTCAAGGAGTTTCGGGTCAGATTTGAGGGTTAGGGGCTTAATGTAGGGGCCTTAATAGTTAGAATAGGGTTTTGGGGTATCTCATACTCTATTTGTAACAAGGAACCCCCAAAATATTACAGGTAATTATTTAGGTTTTGGGTGTAGGGCTTCGGGTCCGGCTGACGCTTGGGGGTTTAAGTTGGATGGGGACACATGCCGGATCAAGTTGGGGCTTGGATCGCAGTTCGATGCAAGAGTCGGTGTTTGACGCTAAACCTGACCGAGTACGTACTAGAACAAACGCCGCCCCTAAATCCTAAGCCGAGTACATAGTAGAACCCAGGCCGTTATGAAACAGCAACAGGCAACTACTGCGACACGAGCAGGGAGAAGATGTGCCGAAGAAGCAAGTTCCCCACACCCTTCTGCTCAAACTTCATAAGAGGCACATTGGACCAAACCCTAAACCCACCCTAAACCCTAAGTTCATGAGAGGCACATGTTCCCCTAAACCCCTAAACCCCTAAACCCCTAACCCCTAAACCCCTAAACCCCTAAACCCTAAACCCTAAACTCTAAACCCTGAAAGGACTGCTATACACTCACCTATGATCCGCACACCCCGGCTGGCTGCAGCCTCAGACTTCTTCTCGCTTGAGATGGCCATTCGCGCCGAGGTCTTTCATGGTTTGAGGCCACTTGGAGGATCATGGGACTTAGTAAGTTGGGTTATAAGTACCCTAATTGGGGTTATAAGTAATGTTACTAAGTCCCATGATCCTTTCAGTAGGGTTTAGGGTTTAGGGTGCTTTTGGGGACCACAGTTGGCACTTGTGGGCCTTCGAGCCCTTGCACTCAATGTAGAACCGCGAAAGCCGAAAGCTCGGCCACGACGAAAACCCAGACTCAAAGCTTGATCCAAACTCATAAACCCTACAAGCCCTGAGTCCTAAAACCCAAACGCCCAAAACTCAGAAACCCTGAACCAAACCCTAAACCCTAAACCCTAAACCCTAATTAATCCCTAAACCCTGAACCTCGAGTCCTATAGTCCCACGGCCTGAAGCCTACACCGATGAGATGGCTCTAGCATAATACACCCCCAGAGCCCCAATCAGTGAAGGCCCTTATATTTCATGGGTCGTTCTCTAAATTAGGGTCCCCTTTTAGGTCCCCAATGTAGTACGGCATCCTTTTAAAAAGGACCCTAAACGGGACCCGATATTAGAGCACTACCCATATTACACCGAATCGCCGAGGCCGGGTAACCTTGCAACTCAACGGCGTGGAGCTTGGCAGCGTTGAGGGGCGCCGTTTCTCGGAGGTGCGATGATCTTCTGTGAAGAGCTCCTTTTAAGTAACTATTGATATTGGAGCTCTCAGAATAAAGACAGCCAAAGGAAGGCCCCAAGTTACAACCATCCGGGCGAGACACTGGACGAAGAAGTCGAAGTTAAATGAAAAAGGAAGGTTTAGCTGCATGGTCCCAAAACCCCAAACCCAACAGCCAAGGATTTTATTAACCCCAAATCCTTATCCCCAGGACCCTAAAACCTTAAATTCTAGAACACCCCAACCCTCTCGGGCAGGCCTTGTTTTCCGTGTGGTTTGGCCAGCGGCCATTCATGGATCATCTGAAGCAGGCGCGCCGGGATGGACTAAGCAGTCATCAGACGGTAGTTTGCCAGCAAAAGCTGCCTGGGGCCAGGAATTGCTTCAGCGCCAATGAGGAGGTTCGTTTCTCGGAAGCATTTCATGCTTGTCCTTCTTGGTGGTAGCCAGGTAGTGACACAATGAATCCATGCGGTTTCTGCCCAGGTTGCCGGCATCTTCCATGCACCAGCTTCTGCAGCCAGGAAGACAGCTTAGGGTTTAGGGTTTAGGGTTCAGGGCCCTAAACTTCGTGGCTGCAGACACGTTGGGGCTGCAGCTACTGCCTAAGGCAGCAGCTTACTTTGGACCGGCGGTCCTGGTCGAGCAAACTCGTCCCTTGATGGCCCCCCTCTCTGAAACCCAGAGTCCCAAACGGACCGAACGACTGTGGAGTTTCAGAGAGTAGGCGAGGCTTTAGCAAAGCTCTGATGGTGGCTTGGCAGGTGGAGTTGTGTGGTCTCTTCAGCTTGGTGCAGCTTTGTGGACCGACCTGAGTCTGAACTCCGGGCGGCCAGCAAACTCTCCCTGCAGTGCCAAATTTTCGTGCCCGATTTTCGACTAAGAGTGGGCGGTTGGAAAAAGCCCCTCAGAGTTCGAAGAGTTCAAAGAGTTCAGCCCAGACAAGGAGAATATCACTCTTGCATGTATGCGGCCTGCACCCGCCAGCTGCCAGGTGTCCGATCGTCGTGCCCGGGCAGGTATGCGGATGATTCGTGAGGCTGCTTCGTGAGCTACCACTTGCCGGCACAGAGATGTGCCGCAGCTCTTCGTATGGTTTCGGCCCTTGCCAGGATCATCGCCCCTTCTACCTGCTTGCCGTCCAGGCGAGGTCTGCTGGTAAAGACAAAATTTTGCCTGCACCCTAAACCGTCCCTATCGGCTTTCCCCCAAACCCTAAGCCCCTAAGCTCCACTAAACTGCGCCGCTCCGGAGCCCCAATTTCTGTGCCATTGGTTCCGGTTTCGCAGGAGTGGACTGCCCGGATGTGCCCCACCACGGGGGAAGATAACACGGCCAACGGCCATGCCAAAGCAGCGCCCGGAAGCCCAACAAATTGATATTCACAGCAAAAAAGGGTTTAGGGTTTAGGGTTCAGGGTTTAGGGGGGTAAAGAACATTTGAGTAACATTAGCCAGCATAACAATCACGGCATGCAGCTGATGGGGCTTCCCAGCTTGTAACGTCGATGAAGCGGGATGATCCTTGAACAGGGCTCTAGCTTCCCTTGTAAAGTATCATATAGTGTTTTATATAGCATTTTGTAGGGTCATATAGCATCATATAGTATCGCATATCATAAAGTGTGTTATCTAGTATCATAAAGGATCATGCCGTGTATTTCGCAGATCGTATCTGACCTTACATTACCATATATCATGTATAGCAGCATGTTTGCTTTTACAGGACGACATCGGTGAAACGGTTGATGATATAAATCCTGCATTACCGATAAAACGAATAGACTAGACAATTTAGGGTCCTGAAGGTCGTGCAGGATTTATATCACCAACTCATCAACCGAAAGCCTTGCCCTTGCATGGAGCTCTTCCGGAATTCGACCTGCAGATCTTGTGCATCATCCACACCCTTGCCTACGTTACTAAGCTCCTGTCATCATCTTCACGAAGCCAGGGCTTCTTTCCCATTATGGTCAGGGGCCTCTCATGCTTTCTGCTCCTGCGCACTGCAAGGCCTCTCGTGTGCCTCCCCGCCCGGCACCCGCTGCTCTTCACTTGGGCCGGGCTACCCAGGGTTTGGGGACTTGGCGGAAACTCTCAGGTCAGCTCTTTCTGGCTGGGTCTACGGTTCAGATGTTACGGGTCTCTTTGCCCTCCTCCCCACCTTGCCCGCCCCAATCAAGCCGAAGAAGTGAGAGCCGGCTCAAGCATCCAAGGAAACTCTCATTGTACTCGAGACTCTAACTGGTATGCCATCGGTTACCGCGACGTACCCCGTGCTTGCTAGCAAATGTCCAGTGTCCAGTTATAGCAACAAGAAACGGCATGTGCGCATAGTCTTCTCGGGGGCCCTTCAAAGCGACCCTGGCTTGGAACAGCGCCCACATGTTATTGTAGTAGGGGTCGGAATAATTGCTACTCATAATATTCCCTTATAGTCGCTGTACATACCTTAGAGTCCCTATACATATTCCCTTATAGTCCCTATACAGTCATGCTAGAGTATATGCGCCCTGTGTCGCCAGGTCGAAGACCCGGTCGGGGAGGCTTCTTCGCCCTTCCCGGGTTTCAGAGTGTCGTCGGGTAATATCCTAAACCCAACCCCCCTCAAAAACAATTCAAAACCTTAAAGTCCGAAGCCTGAACCCTGAAATCTCAACCTTAAGGAAGCCTTAATTGTTTGCCAATATTATTCCTGAGGGTTCCTCATTGTGAATATGCCGTAATATGCCACAAAGCCCTATTCAATTCTCATCATTAAGGCCCCTCTAGCAGGCGAGTGGTCGTTGATTTCTTTATATTTTTTGTTTGGGTGGGGGGGGGGCTAAATTTGGGCTGAAGTTATGAAGGGAGTCTATTTCTCTGCACGTCCGTGTGTTTGTTTTTCCTCTCCTGCCTCGATCTCATCTGGGGCCTGCATAGAAAATCACACGTGCGAGTGCACAGACGGCAGATACTCGACATTTGTGGGCATCTTGCTGCTGCTGCTGCTGCTGCTGCTGCTGCTGCTGCCATCTGTTGCCATTGCCACCAGAAGCGCTCTTCTTGTTCTTTTTCTTCCTCTTCTGATCCTACTATACTTACGTTGGTTTGCTGTATTCATCGCTCCCATTGCAGCTGCAGTGCTCTCATGGGACTGCTTACTCATGATGCATTCGTGTTGAGCGCTGCTTGTCGTTCTTCTCGGTCCCCACTACCAGCTTTTCTGGACGGCCCGCTTGCTTCCCATGCCAGGTGACCAAATACTACGAGCAGGCCATAGTGGGACTGGTAGTCTGTTGTTCAGGGTTTCAGGTGGTAAATCTGAAACCCTAGACCCAAAACCGCTGAACCCCGAAACCCTTATTTTATCCCTAGTTGAGTTGTTGCTGGCTCTCCAACAGGGCTCAGTGCAGCAGGTCATGTCGACCATGTCAGTCTGCCATATGTTCTTTCTCCTTACCTGTAGCATGTGAGCTTTGGAATTGCCTAGTTTCTCTGTTGCAAGGTTACAACCCGGAATTTTCGCGCAGTCTTGTGGCCCAAGGGATCCTGCCTCGTTTAGCATTTCCGACTTCAGACTCTGCAGTGGGAGGAGATCCTAAACGTTTGGAAACGTTTGGAGGCGATCTGGCATTTCAAGCTGGATACTATCCTCTTCTTCGCGGCGAACACCTTCTTTGCCTTCGGAGCATCTCGACCAACCCAGCCCTCGTTGTAAGGGTTACTAGAAGGCATCTAGAAGGCCCATAGCTACTCTCAGAACAAGCCAAAGAAGAAGCGTGAGCTTACTTGCAAAGCTTTGTAAATGAAAAGTGTGAGGAGTGCACTAAGGCTCTGTGGGCCCTTCAGTACATGGGCTTCAAGTGAGCGGTTTACCCAGGCAACTCTTGCGACCGCATCAGCAAAATGGAGAGCCAACGCACTCCGTCGTTTTCCACATGTTTTCGGCCTTGTCCGACGAAACTCTGATTGCATCACACCGCAGCCGGCATTCCTTCCCAGTCAGGCTACTCGGAAATTCTGTCTGCTGGGGATGAGCGCATTCTAAGCTCGAAAGTTCTGAGCGCTCGACACCACAGCCGTTCATTGCATATCCTCGTTCGGGCTACAGTCACTAGTCACAGCTCTGAAAATTTAAAGTCACGTGGCTATGAACTAGAAGGGCGCGGCCTGGGAGTGCGCCATGGCCTCGGGAGGCACCGCATTTCATCACTTGTCATCACCAGCCGCCTGGTTGTCATGACTTCTAGTGCAAAGTTAACATAGGGGCCTGAATAATTACCAATAGTATTTTGCTGAGTTCCTTATTAAAACTATAGTATAATATGCCCCCAAACCCTGTTCTAATTATTAAAGTCCTTGCATTAGGTGTGGCTCCCAGTACCGGTCGTCTGTCAAAACACGAGAAACCTCGGTTGCCGTTCGTTGCAGGATTTGCGGCGTGCGTGACTCGCTTGGATCGATGCTTGGCCTTGTCGCCCAGAAGTGGTCAACTCCCTAAAGTGGTCAACTCCTCAAAGGGCTTGGTGGATATGGGGCTTGGGTTTGGGCCTGCCGGACCAAGTAACGCTGTAGTCCTGGAGCTTCACCCTGAGCTCTGTACCCGAACTAAAAAAACAAGAGAAGGGCCTTCGCACTGGAGCTTCACAAACTCCCACGACCCCCACCACCGCGGAAACCCCACACCCAAAAGCCTAAACCGTAAACCCTAAACCCTAAGACCCTGGACCCTAAACCCTAAACCCCCAAATCCATAAACCCTAGACCCTAAGGATTCGGCTGCTTCGGCGACGAAGATGATCACGGCTTTGTGCGGCCTCCGTCCGAAGATGTCCATGCCAGCAGGGGCCTCAGAAGAACGCTCTTCCTTAGGGTTACCTACGGTCTATGCTATAACATATCCCCTTGAAACCCTGTCCCAATCATTCAGGCAGCCATCGACTTTGTCTTTGTTGCTTTTTATTTGAGGGGCGGCGGGGGGGCTTTGGAAGTCTTGGCTGCCTAGCCCCATAGTTCTCAATGTGCGGCATCTCTACTCGAACTGCTTGTGCTTCCCGGAGCTCCACGTTTGAGTCGGCTCGGCGAGTTTCTCCTGTGCAGTCTTACGTTTTGGTCGTTTCATCTTGTGTTATGCGCTGCCGCTTTGCAGTGCTACGACTTGATGTAGCGGCATGTCGTGCTGTGCTGTGACATCTTCTGTTGCGGTTTGTCTCTCTCATCGTGAGGCAAGTGAAGCTACTCCGAAGATTGTGGGTTTTCGAAGCTTTAGGTTGCCCTGCTCGCAGTGGATACTGTGTCGTCTGGCCTGTTACCTTTACAGTGACCGCTTCTTGCTTGTCCTGCACTGCTCATCCCTCATGTCGCCGGGTCCTGAGCTGCAACATGCAGCAAGAGGCGAGATGTTGGGTAGTGCTGCCATTTCGATGTGGATGCGACACCGTGATGCTCGACTTCACCTCCTCTTGTAGCAGGTTGAAGTGTTCGGTATTCAAGTCATGCATGTGCTCCATTGTACCCAAGGTGTCGATATCAGCCACTCATTGTGTGATCTTGCCTCCACAGAGGCTTCAGGAAGTTGTGGTCTTGGCATCTGTGCTGCTGTGATTGGTGAGAGTTTGTTTGCCTCAACTCCTTGGCTGCAGCTTTTGCCCAGCTTCATGCTGGCAGCTAGCCGTCAGTGCCTTCCGGCTGACCATACAGTAGCACCCTAAACCCCAAGCCCCAAACCCTAAACCCTAAACCCTAGTACCCTAAACCCCAAACCCTAAAGAGTAGCATGTGTTCTCACGTAGGGTTTCCCAAGCTCTCACGCCTGAAGCCTTCTCCGTCCATGCTTAGGTGCAGAGGGCACGCAGCCCCTGCTGAGCCCAGAGGCCTGGTTGTTCTGATCTTCGATATTGTATGTTATGTATATATATATATACACATACATACATATATATATATATAGATATAAATAAATAAATAGAATATATATATATATATAGATACATACATATGAGTGGTTTCGGAGTTTTGGGGTTCAAGTGCTTTGGGTTGAAGGGTTTCGGGTTCAGGGATGACCCCTTGGAGCGTTGATCCGAAATCTCTCCCACACCTGAAAAGTGCCCCGAAGCACCAGACCCCTAAAATCTCAAAACCCCCTAAACCCCACTGGGCGGTGGGGTTTAGGGTGTCCTCAGCCTGAAAGTGAAGGCGACGGAGGATCCAGGGGCGAATCCGTCCCCCAGAAGCGGGGCTAGCACGTCACCGAAGCGGCGTGCCCGGAGGTGCTCCGGGCCGGGCCGTAGGGGAATTCAAATTGCGGAGTTTAGGGCTGCATGGGTTTTCAGGGTTTAGGGTTTAGGGTTTAGGGTTTAGGGTTTTCAGGGTTTATGGCTGCATGGGTTTTCAGGGCTTTTGGCTGTTCCAAGGTGTTAGGAGTCGGGTTTCGGGTTTGAAGTTTTGTGGACTGTGCGATTAAAATTTAGGGCCTTAGGGTTACAGCCCTAGGGTTACCGGCCTGCAGATTGCCTGCCAGCCTCCAATTAGTGCGAGTCTGAGGATGGCACCACAAACGACTGGGGGTTGCAGTTAAGGCAGTTAAGGGACTTAAAGTAACTTACCGTTATACGGAAACCCTGTTATTTACCATGTATCCTCATTCTGGTAACTTGAATCAAGTTCCTTAACAGCAACCCAGACGATGGGTGATACCGCAAGGTCATCAGAAACAGTCCGCGATGTCAAGCTGGAAGAGGCTATTGCAGCTGCGGCGCAAAGCGAGGTGGTGAAACAGCCGCTTCTGCGACCGTCTCTTGGATGTAGTCGGAAGCACCGTTTCCAAGTGGGCTGTTACTGTGAGAATGATCAGCAGTAGTATAATCTTCCGCTTTTGCTTACTCTGGCCGTCAGTGTAGCTATCGTTGTCAGTACGTGTGTCAGTATCATTATTGTCCTTCCCTTCACTATGTAGTACTGTTACGATGATTGCTATTCTCCTGCAGCTAAAAATGTGTTGAATATGACCTTAGTTACTGTGATTATCGGGGCCTCGGTACAAAGCTCCGACCCCGACCCCTTTTTCTGGGTTGCTGTTGAAAGAACTTCATTCAAGGAACCATAATGCCGATAGATGGTAAAGAATAGGGTTTCCCAGTATTCTAGTAACCCTAAACCCTAAACCCATTATTTCAGTAACTTCAGTTATTTTCCTTAACAGCAACCCCATTACTATAGTCACCCGAAACCCTAAACCCAATATTTTAGTAACTTTAGTTATTCTCACCCTAAACCCTAAATCCTTAACAGCAACCCCCAGTTTTCCCAAGGCCTCGCAGTGTGAAGGGCCTCCTCCTCGCGGGTTTCTGCATGTTCCTGGGCGGCTGCTTGGGCGCTGCAGCCCTTCGGGCTTGAATTGTTTAGGGGTTTAGGGTTTAGGGTTTAGGGTTTAGAGTTTAGGGTTTAGGGTTTAGGGTTTAGGGTTTAGGGTTCAGGGTTTCGGGAGTTTAGGGTTTAGGGTTTAGGGTTGAGGG